AAACGTTTTTTTTTCTTGATCAGAAAAAATTCCCTGTTTCTAAATTATATGGATTTATTCAGTTTTGCAAAAATCGGGACTATCCATATAAGGCAATCTTGCTGCTACTGAGAGGTATGGAAATAAGACAAAAAAAAAAATGATATTATTATTCGTAACAAGGATAATTGTAATGGAGTTGATCGTACTGTAGAATATTGACTGGCAGTCAATACCACGATTCGAGTGACGGCATTCCCGGGTATCTTAAGCAAGGAATCTAAGATTGATTACCGTTTATTCTCATTCTTCCGTGAATTTATATGTCGCCGATGGCAATGGTAATTAGTAGCTAAATGCTTTGTCGTGCTCCATACGATACAATGTGTTAGGCACTTCTAAAATTCTTTGAAACTTTGTGGTTATCTACCGAGAATAATCTCTCGGTAAGTCTTTATCTATATTTAACTTTTATCGTAACGTTTTAATGCCTTTTCCCTTCTTTTATTTTTAACTTTTTCTACTTAACAAATTTATCGTCTCCTAAAAAAAAAGTAAGTGTGTTTAAATTTTATCGAAATTACTATCAATAGAGATGTATATTATATAAATGAATGTAAGGAAAAAATAAAGATTGGTCAATAATCAAATTTAAATACTCGCGACGAATGACGGCGAAGAAAATAATATGGAGTAGGTCGGCATCATTATTTTATAATCTTAGCGAAACAGTTTTATGTAAATGTGGAAGGGAGATGCTTCGACTGTCTCTAGAGAATCCGCCGCTTTCGCCAAATACTATTCTGGCTTTTCTTTGCCTGACAAAAAATGTGTTCTTCACCCCATAGAAGATTCCTCTCGTGTTGCAGCAAAACACACACAAACATGCATTTTATCTGTCTATATATATATATATAAAAGCTTATTAGAAAGCCATCTGTTCCTTTGCAAATTATGAATTCTAGTTATGTGAATTTGTATGTATACAAATTAACCTTGAATAGTGATTAACGGTGATTAGTAATTTTCATCCAAACTTTCATTTCTTGATTACTATTACTCCTTTACTTTATAAAGCTGTCATTTAATATCTAAATTAGCTGAAATAAATTACAAAATAATCGTAGTTTATAAATCTTATTTATAGTTACATATTAAAATAACTCAAAAAAATGAACAAGCTTCACTCTTATATGGTAATATTTTACAAAGATTAATGAAAAATGTCGTATTCTTCTTAAAAGAATTTTATTCTGTTCCTACTATTATTTTATATAATTTCTACGGTTATAATTTTGAAATGATTTTTTTTTCTTCAGAATTTTATATAAAGGATTGTTTTTATCATTTCGATTAACTTTATTTAATGTTGAAATGTTTCAGAAGGCGCTTGGCACTTCGTTTCAAGATATTTTTCTGTCGCCATTTTATTTTTTTCCCTAGCCAATCGTTAATCTTCTCGGACTAAAATTTACCAACTGAAAATTGTGCCTAACTCTACACCCGACAGTAGGCAATCTATTCCAGTATTGAAAATTCGGTTTCGGTGGTTGACCTAAGGAGGTCAAAGCTTCACGCTAGTGTTTTTTGGGAAAGTAGTTCTCCGGAGATATACGCATTCCCCGTTATGTACTTTTATCGATTGCTTAGTGGGGAATGCACGATAATCCGTAGCGGGCCTTGTCTCGTCGGATCTTCTTTCGCGATGTTACCTCGGGGAATATCCCAGCCAACTTTTACGGCTTCGTTTATGCTACAAACCTTTCCGTTCTTCGGTCGGGGAAACATTTTAGCGCCCCCTATACCACTTTCGGCTTGCGATGACGTCATAAAAAGGCTAAAGTGTGAGACCCGCCTCAATTATAACGCTGCCCCGGATGCGGAGTTTTATTTCCGGACCCGGTTGTTCCGAAAGAAACGATGGAATGTTCCTCTAACACGGTTTTGTCGGTCGTTCCGAAGCTAGAAAATTGCTTGGATCATCTGTTCCTTTCTGTGCGCACCGACTGCATTACTTTCGACAAAATTTATTTATACCGCGCATTCGCCTTCTCCCCTATTTTTGATACTCAAAATTCTGTGCCCGAAAATGTTGGAAAATTACTTTTTAAAGCCATATTTGAAAGTAGTAATCGCGTATTCCGTTTAAGTATTTAAATAACTTTACTCACAAATTTTTTTTCCTTCCTTCCTTTTTACTTTTCAAATTAAAATTTTAATAAGTAATTTTTCATCTTCCTTTAATTTTTAATGATTTTAAAATAGTATTACTTTATAATAATCTCTCTGCATATTAATATAATTATATTAATGTTTACATTTATAAATTGATTGCGAAAACTCATTTTCGATATTTTCTTGTTTATTTTATTTTATTTTTTACTTCTTCCTCTCCCTAATTAACCGTCCCGAATTTCCAAATATTCTCCGTATTTTAACAAACTTTTACGTTTATTTTCGAAACTCGAAAATATTTATCGAGTTTAGTAATTCCGTTTTCGATTTAATTATGCGTGGCAGTAATCGAATTTCATAACATCTTCTTCTTTAAAATAAGATTCTGACAATTACTGCTATCATCCGACTCACTCTCGTCACAACTCTGTTCTAGATTAAACTTGACTTGTTAAATCGTGTTAGTGAATGGCATAGTAATTGCTTTCGTTCTACCTTATGCCGTCTCCGTGTTTATGTTAACTTCCGAGCTTGGTCATACTGATTAGAATACTGGAAATCATTGCCCAAACCGGATTACGATATCTACTCTTAATTTAAACCATGGCGATAGCATCTATAGGATAAGGCTTATATGTATAATTATTACACTAGTTTTACTACATGCAAATATAATGTTTCGCCGATTACATACAGTATGTTACGTGTATCTTCTATATTATCTATAAATTTATGGAAATTTTAATATTTTTAATTGCCAAGTTTAATATATACATTATAATTTACGTATTAAAATGTATTACTCGAATAATATAACAGTATATAAGCCTATTATAAATTATATCTATTTTATTTAATTTTCTGATTCGTGTTTACGTTATGTTACGTCCTTTAATCAATAATTTATAGAGATAAATATTATAGAATTTATTAAAACAGTCAGACTAAAGTACATTGACTTGCGATTAGATTCATTTCATTCAATAATATTTACAAATAGAAGATATAGAAATATAGAATCATAATACTTTTATAATTATTTAAATAGCTGTTACAGATGTAGGCCTAATAGATGAATGCTAACGTAACCAAAACTTGTGAAATGTTATTAGAATGTAAAGCGATTCTGGAGCTTCTCCGGACTGTTTCTTCTTCCATTAAAAATTGACCGATGCCAATATTTACTTAAGGGTTGGCCCGTCACTCTACTCTTGTTTACATAGAACTACGGTGGAGATGGTAAGAGCAATTAAGATAGTTCTAAACAGTACGGTTTCCGCAATCCTCAGGTGCAGATTTTACCAGGGATTTCTTCAAGTACGATTGAGAGACTTTTTGTTTTCTCTGTACTGCCTACCCGGGTTATGATCGAATCAACGTCACTCACCAAATGGAAATTCGTAGCGGGATATGGGATCGTGTTTGTTTTGGTTGTAAAATTTTCTGATTCGATATAAGTAAATATTCTTTAACTCTCCGTAATTCTCATAAATATTTCTTACCTTAAATAGGATTTTATTTACAAAAATGATAACAGTAAATATTTTAAAATAACATAATTTATATGCCTATATTTTTATTTCTTTAAGTAATATTTTAACTCTCCTTGTTTTCATAACGGATATATATTTACATTTTTATTAATGTTAAATTTATAACTTTTAGTTTAATTATTATCTATAAGTTTATTATTATTCTGTTACTTCTGTTAACACTTAAAACCTTCATTTAGTTATTACTTTTTTTTTTTTTAAATAATTTGATAGAAAACTCGAATACGTAATTAGAGAATTTTATTTAAACCCCACTGTTTATTGAGTTTTAAATTGCATATTTATATTTAATGTATCGAAATTAAACTATAATACCACTTCAAATACGGAAAATACAATACTACTTACAATGGAAATGAACTATAGAGGGCAGGTCGATCTTACAACATGGCGGACGAAAATAGTAGGTATGTTTGCATTCAATACTGTATTTATGTATGTAAACAGCTATTGTATATATTTATTAACAATGCTTTTTAACAAAATAAAATCGAGTTATGTATTAGCTTATGCAGGAGAAGCTTAAATATAGTTTTATTGAAGAAGCTGTATTTGTTGTAAAACATTTATTTACGTGTGGGTTCCAACGTTGTTCTGAAGAACACGTCAACGCTGAAAGTTTTCGTGTTCACAAACTCCGAATTTAGTTTTTAGTCCTCTAAAAATTGCGAGGACTTATTAAATACTACGTTATTTTATTAATACTAAAATAATATTATTTTCACTATGAAATAAGTTCTGAAGTTAAAGATTGAATGTAGTAGTATTAAAATATCGTTAAGAGTTTAAATTATCATTATAAATGGCAAAAGATACGATAAAGAAAACGAAATTATGAGAGATTAAGCAACTTGTTATGTAGTTTTATGCAAATATTTCACGGTGAATAAGTACAATACTTTTTGACGTAATCATTGAGACAATTAGCGTAGTAAAAATTATCTTACTCGGCAATATATAGTATATTCGTAGGAAAATAGAATAGATAAGTGTTCTCGAGTGGTTCCTTTCCAAAATTTTAAAAATATATAACCATTGTTTACATAACTTGAAAACGTTTGGGAGAAGGTGCAAAGAAATATTCTACGTTTGTTTGCTCTTACATTGCGGTACACAGCAGAAGCGATTGATTATTTTAGCGTTTCTTCGAGTTCTTCCTAAATTCATGACACACTTTAAAAAAAGACGAACAAATAAACAAAGTAAACACAGATAACAGTATATAGCAATACTAACTTCTGGAATCCAATACTATTTTCAGTAATTCTCTAAACTGACACCAGTGTGCAGGTCGTTCGTTTTCAATGGCAGCTAGTTATGAATTGCCTGCAAGTGTAAACTTTAGAAAATATCCTTGTTGAAATGATAATATATTAGATATTCTCGACGAAAATAAGAATAAATCTGCGATTTTGACGTAATTTGACATTTATTCGATATTTAGTTTTAGAATATATTCAATTTTAAAATTGTTTCGGATAATATCGGATTTAATTTCGAAACGTTTAATATTTTTATTTATATGTATTTAATTAATTAATTAATTATTTATTTATTTTTACCATTTGTTTATTTCTTTTTAACTTAAGCTTATTTTATTTTTTCTAATTTTAGTAAAATTAAATTTAACAAATATTATTTAGATTTAAACACTGATAATTACAACAGTTTATTTGTATTTAGAGATTTTTTTTTTTTTTGATAAATGCGAGGTTTTTGTAGATTAAGTTATTCGGATTTCGGTAGTAACTAGAAGGTGGGATTAAAAGAGAATTTTATTTCAGTTGTTAGTTTATCAAGAGTATAGCGAGCCGTTAGACCTACGAACGGATTCGGACGAAGCGGATTACACGCTGCCGACAGACGAAACCTATTACAGTCAACCCTGCGACCTACCTCCCGACCAGGATGACAACGGTGAGTGAGTTCTTTCGGAAATCTCCACTCGGATCCCGACACTCGTGTTTCAACCGATAATATGCGCCCCGATTCATTATTCTCTTCCCATTTGGCCTTTTTAGTCTCCATCACTATTCACGCTTTAGTATACGCATTTCGCGTGTTATTATTATTATTTTTTTTCCTAAGAAAGTTTCTATTGTTTAATAGCGAAATTCGCTCCGTTGAGTCGCGCGACGTCTCGCGCGCGACTGAGCGAAGACATAAAAGTAGTATTGTGCGATATTGGCGGTAAATTCGAAAGTCGCGTTGGCTTTGTGGCGATTTCGATCCGCGTACGGAACGATCCTTGGTAGTGAAGACGAGAGTTGGCAGGGATTTAAAGGGTTAACGAAGGATGGGGACTCCCTGCGCGTCCGGTCGCCTCGACGAATTTCGCTTTATCCTTAACGACCGTAATTTATGTTCTATTAAGTTTCGGTTTTCTCCCGATTAACTTCGCATTGGGGCGCTCCTTTCGAATAACGTTACTAAAGTTAATTGCCGATTATTCTCGTTTTTTTTTTTTATTTGGCGTCACGAATTTTCGTAACGACACAGAAAAAAAAAGGCGAATTAGAATTAATGGCAATGTAATTGGAATTTTCGTCGTTGATAATTGTGTATTCTCGCGATATAAATTTCAGACGTATATCTCGTGAAATAATAATAATATTCCGCCGGGGACACATATACGAATTCTTTTTGAACACATGCCGTTTCTCTAGGTAATTCGGATCAGACATCATTCTCTGTTGCCTGGATCGTTCCGGCCAACCCCGTTGAGAGTCGGATCTCTCTATAATCCTAAAATAGAAACCGACGTATAACCAAACTGTGTAGATCCTGGCACAGAAATCTGTTTCGTCGTAAATCCTTCCGTCGGGAATGTTGTCAGGGTTTTCCAAAAAAAAAAAACAGAAAAAAATAGTACAGTTGTAATAGAATTCATCATATCTGGTAGAATTTCTTCCTCCAATCTTGAATCATAAAATATTGCAAAACCAGGTTGAAATTATCTCCGAATTAATTTACTGTCCACGTCAATGTTCTCAATTTTTTTAATTTAGTGGCACTTTCATTATTTTTGCTAGAGCATTCATTCGCCATTGTCGCATGATGTCTTTTTATATGGATAAACTTGATAAGAAGAGGAAAAAGATAACATTTGAAAAAGGACGGTTGAAACCACTGGTCTACATATTAAATCGTTAAAACTTACGTTAATTTTGCTATTGATTCTAAAGCTGATAGTCCGAATAGTTTACTAGATAAATTAAATCGAAAATATTTCTGGTGTAATTACCTCTTACTTCAGAAAAATATATTTTATTCAATATTTTAATGCACGCTTCTATTAAATTTTACACATGAGAAATCAATAATTATATTAAATATTAACTCTTGATTGCCGAAATAAATCTTATCTTCGGAAATTCCTGATTAAAATATTTCGGGGGAATGAAATCTTGCAATTTAAAATATTTTGAAATATATTTCGATAAATATTATTATAATTTTCGGTTTGTCATGTTAGTAATTATTATCGAACGAAACAAGAATTGTAGAAAGAATAATATAATAATTGTTGTTTAGTGATTAAACAAATTGTATGGAGAAAGACGGTAAAATTAAATAATGAGTTAATCCCAGAATGAAAGTATAAATTTATAAAGAAAAGAAAATAAATAAATCATATAGATAGATGCTAGATTGGAATTGGTGATGTAAATGCACCTTTGGTGAGAATAACGTTAATAAATGAATGAAATAAAGAAAGAAATGTAGAAAAATCAATGTGCGTAGAATATAGGCATATACGTGAATAAAATAAACAATTATTGCATATTCCAATTTTTTTTTTTAAATTCGTGAATGAACGAACTTTTATTAATTTTCTTCCGAAGTTTAATACTTTACTTATTGGCAAATTATGACCATAAAACTTACCACTTCAGTATACACAAACTTCTATTCTTTAAGAACTAAGAATAGCCTATGTGTCTTATATTCATTTTAAGTGTGGAGTATTTTGTTTCTAATCAATGTGTTAATTAAGAATGGAGTGGATTCTTCTTTTTATTTAAGTAAAAATCTTTTAGATTTGACTCTATTTGGATAAAACATTTGATTTTTCTAGTTATAGTTGCACTAAATTCTCATGGAATATAACTATTACGGTGGCTAATCTTTTTTTTCTTTTTTTGTATTTAAACAAAATTGCACGTTATTATACACTTTCAAAAGTATGTAATTCCTTTTTCGGTTTAGCTTTAAAAACTACACTACAAATTTTATCCGTTAAATTAATATGGAAATCAGACAGACAGATTTAATATTACGAATAATTAATTATACCTTAGAAAAGTTTATAAAATAAAAGAGGGAAAATAATTTAGAAATGTAGTTTTTAAATTAAATTTAAACGAAACGTTATTGAAATTGATGTTAACGCATAAGAATTAATTTTTATTTAATAAAATTGGAATTCGGATGAGTGTGAAGTAAAATTTAAAAAAATGGAACGATAACACTGCGACGTTTTATCGTTTCATTTATAACAATCATTTATCCCCGTCGGGAGAGGTCGTCAGTTAAGAAAAGAAATTCTAGAACCTATTCTAAATCCAATATATTAATTCCGTAAGTGTTACTCTGCCGTTTTGCATCTCCCGAAACTTGGCGGAGCGACATCATTAATACCTCATTTATTCCCCTCGAAATGTAGAAAGTAGTCTCCGCTTTATTTTCTTTACTAACCTTTCGTTAGGATAGAAATAGAATTTTTAAATTTTTTAAAATATTATCTCTCAAAATTCTATCTGTCCTTTTATATGACATCGTAACGTTTGTTTACACCTTTGCTCTTGTATTACTGTCGTTTGAAATAAAATAAACACACCACGATGGTTTTATCCGTATTTGGTTTTTTCCCCTTCTTTCTTTTTATTTTTTTCTTCCTATTCGTTAATAAGAGGATACGAGTAACTATTACTATAGACTTGTACAGAAGATATACATTAAATATAATAATAATTGTTTATATTAATTATTAGTAATCCAGTGTGTTTTTTTTTACTGTTTTCTGGGTTTGTAATATCATCTTCAGCAATAGCGAGAATATAAAATGGAAGTAAGAAATGGCGATTTATATGATTAAGGTTTAGCGTTTAATACACTGATAAACAATTGTATAGTACATTATCTCATGTTGAGAATGATTGCTCGAAAAGACAGTTTAAATAATGCGTATTTACTTGAAGATAATGATAACTCTGATTACAATAAGCGAAGTTTTACGTGTATTTTAATTTATATTTTTTTTAGGACATTCCAGTTCTGATATCATTAGACGACTCTTAAAAATATCTACGATTACAATAAAGAGATCAATACTATATTTTGCAATTCATATGAAATAAATCATTGTCTTTAAGGTTTGCGAACAACTTTAAATAGTGAAATCAATCGCAAATCAATGGTCGAAAATCTAAGAGTTTTTATTCTTTAGGAACCGTAGGATGAGATATTCTCTCTAGGCATTACTTAAAATAATTAATATGGAAGATTTTTTTTTCAAATATTTCGTGTTGAATTTTAAATAAACAGTAATATTTATTCGTTCGCATAAGAACTTTTCGATTGATTACAATAAATGTGTGTCGAATGTAGCAATATTTCGTTTGTAAATGAATTAATTCAGCATTTATAACTTATCAATGCGATACGTATAGAATTATTTTATTTAATATAGTTTTAGATAAATCGCAATAAAATAAACTCTAGTAAGAACAACGAATAGAATATTATAGATAAATTGCCATAATATGACAATCGAATATTGTTTTTGCTCAATTAATCTAAAGCTCAGCTCTATAAAGAAGCGATTCTTCGAGTATATTAACGAGATTTAATTATTTCAAAATTTTACTCTGGAAAACAATAAACGAAATGGCGTAGGAATTTATAGAAGAGACAAAGAGGGGGCGGTAAACAACACGAGTCTTGATATATTAAAAAATATATATATATATAGGCCTATATATATCAAAGCATATTACGTTGATTACAATTGATATTTAAATTTACTGGATCCATATTTAGATTATAAAAGTTATAATATTGATACATATATTTATTTTGGTATAAAAATAAGAGAAACTATATCAGATTTGATAGAGAAACAATTCTACAGTACTTAAATAAGTATCGTTATATAATTTTTTTTACTATTTCTTTTTATTTGTTATGTATTTTACAATTACTTATCTTTAATTATAAAATTATTATATTTGATTAACTACTATTTCTTTCAAATAGGGCATGTCTAACTTAGGTGAAGATTCATATACAATTCTAAACGTTCGCTTGAATGGACGAAATTTTGTTTTCGGTTGTTCGTGTTTATATGATCGGCCGTCTAGCAATTTACATATAATATCCGACCAATTGATCTATAGCGTGACAAACGCGTTTATCCCGTGTTTTCGAACAACATCGCGTGATAGAAAAGGAAACTCGGACAGTTCGGAAACGACCTTCTTACCTGGCCCAACGTTACGCATCATTTAGTAATTTCCTATAAATGTAAAGTCCTTCCTGTTTTTTTTTTTTTACGAATTTTCTCGTTTATTTATTTACCAGTTTTTATATAAAGAGAATTTCCACTTAGATCTAATATTTATAATTGAACTTATCGGAAATTGATTCAGATGTTATTTTACTCATAGAATAAAAGTATTTCTATTTAAAATGTTTTTATATCTTTAGGGAAGAATTGAAAGTTTAAGCGGTAACGCAAAGAATTTGGATTTGTTTTGAAATTTCTGGGGGGAAAAAAAAAAGAATTTTTCCATCGTACTTTATCCCGAAGGCATGGGTCACATTCGTTGTTGGCATTTGGAACTTTAATGATGGGATGTATGTGGACCTGTTATTGTGAGATAGTAAGTGGTTCGTTAGCGTTGGGAGTCGCTTTTTCCGGAACTATAAACAAGAACGTTCAACAAAACACTATGTACGCTACTAAATAAAGCTAAATGAAAATCCTACGCTTTTAAATTGTACGGAAATACAAATTGGACGAATAAATCTTTAAGTTCTTTTGAAGTTTAATCGTTCGGAGGATTTCAGATTTTGCGGCCTCAAAATTGTAATAATTTATGGCCGTTTTGGGCGGGCGGAGGGAGGAAAAAGTGGGTAGTGTCAAAATAAGGAAGAAAACTGGGAAACAAATCTTATTGCTTATAAAATTGTAGAATTATGAGGATAATAAGACGTGTTGCTTTATTTGAGAATGGTGTAGTCGAGATTTTATGAACGAAAAGCCGCCGAGGATGGTTTACTTTATTTTTTCTTCTCGTAAATTAAACAGTTAGTCTATAAATTTTTATTGCAATTTTAAGTTAGAAAATTCCCTTGGGAGATTTGCGTGTTCGCATTTTTTTCGGGTTTTTGATTTAAAAAAAACATTTGCAAAGATTAAGATCGTGCGGTGATTATGATCGAGGGTAAGCGAAGCAAGCAGATTTGTAAAATCTTAAAGAACAGTTTTAATTGGTTTATTATAAAAATAGAGCATATTGTTAAGCAATGGATACTCTTATTTATGTAATATCTAACCAATTCATCTATACTTAATGTTATTTTAGTGTACAAAAATAATGAGTTATTTTTATTATTAGTTTCGTATAACTTCTTGAATATCTCTCACTGATTTGATAGTAACAAGTTTGTATCACGTAAACAGATTTAATTTAAAGATTCGTTTAAATTTCAATCTAAAATTTGTATATATATTGATTTAGTCAGTCCTTTGAGCATTATAACGAAGCAGATTTTGAACTTTTTAAGTAATATTTAATTTTGCCCTGTTATTACTCTTTATTACATAAGTGCTAATGTACTATATAATAAAATCAAGAATTCTTAATGTAAAATAACTTTTAAAAATATATAAGCTACGATAGGATTTTCGTGTTAAATAAAATTAAAACTGAATCAACGTTTTCGGAATTTAGGATCATTTGATTATTAAACGATAACCTTCTTCAATACAGTACGTTATTTACTTTCACAGTTAATAACATCATGCTGATATAGAAATTAATAAAAGTTAGAGTTAATCATCGTTCAGAACACTTAAAATGATAACTTACATTAAAATATTTTCATTCTAATTACATTTAATAACGTTAAAAGGTAGCAGCGAATAAGAAGCGTATCAAGTAAATTGATATTTAATATTTAAATCCTTCATGAATCGGCCTTATATCCAAATAGCGAATCTTTTGTAATTGCAAGCTTATTCAAAACACAATCGGATTTTAATTACGGTATTACGCGAATAATTTTCAAACTGCTAGAATAAACGTTGAAAATAAATTACACAAATTACCAATTTTAAAATCATTATTCGGCTTCTGTAAATTTAATCCAGAAGAGCGGAAGTTATATATAGTCTATATATATATATACATGCACACATACGTACATAGACTGTATTATATCTAAATTCTCTCTGGTACAGATCCGTAAGCGAATAATTATATTTCTAATTCGGATAAAACACGACTGAATTGATGGTCCCAAATGTAATACTATGCAGTATTAAGTTACATGGTTCATTATAATGTGGTTAATTAGTAACGCCTAGGGCAGTCATTCAATTACTGGTACTCTGTTAAATTCTGTTGGGTCTACCGCTTGTAACGTTCCTTTGTCTCGAGTTTTACAAAAACTCCATTTTTAAACAGCTCCGAGAAATTTCTCACTCTGTTCGATCCAGGCTCTGTCTGATATTTTATTTTTCTCGGTATCTTCGCTACTTCTTGTCGTTAGTGTTGCTCTATTGTTTTAAGTTAATTCGTTATTGAATATGCTTTAATTTGTAACTTACGATTACAGATTAGGTAACAGAGAATACGGGCGTAATTATATTTATTTACTGGAGATTCTTGCTAAATTTAATACGGACTTAATATTAGAGATGTTCTTGTATTTTAAATCAGTTTTACGCGCTTTTTATTATTAGAGGAAAAGCCACAAGAAATTAAAGAACCATTGAAATCGACCACTCTTTAATTTATTGCTGTAACATTTTCTATCGACTCGTATATAAAGATTAGCTTTTGAACGATGGTCCGTATAAATAAATAATTCGATTTAAACGCGAAGAGCGAAATGCATTGTTCCCGCCGGTACAGTCTTTCGCTAACAGAACGTAGAAACAGTTCCTTTTTCTTTGTCGAATACACACGCCGTCCCCTCTCGTCACCCCCCTTTCAAATAGGGCATGTCTAACTTAGGTGAAGATTCATATACAATTCTAAACGTTCGCTTGAATGGACGAAATTTTGTTTTCGGTTGTTCGTGTTTATATGATCGGCCGTCTAGCAATTTACATATAATATCCGACCAATTGATCTATAGCGTGACAAACGCGTTTATCCCGTGTTTTCGAACAACATCGCGTGATAGAAAAGGAAACTCGGACAGTTCGGAAACGACCTTCTTACCTGGCCCAACGTTACGCATCATTTAGTAATTTCCTATAAATGTAAAGTCCTTCCTGTTTTTTTTTTTTGACGAATTTTCTCGTTTATTTATTTACCAGTTTTTATATAAAGAGAATTTCCACTTAGATCTAATATTTATAATTGAACTTATCGGAAATTGATTCAGATGTTATTTTACTCATAGAATAAAAGTATTTCTATTTAAAATGTTTTTATATCTTTAGGGAAGAATTGAAAGTTTAAGCGGTAACGCAAAGAATTTGGATTTGTTTTGAAATTTCTGGGGGAAAAAAAAAAAAGAATTTTTCCATCGTACTTTATCCCGAAGGCATGGGTCACATTCGTTGTTGGCATTTGGAACTTTAATGATGGGATGTATGTGGACCTGTTATTGTGAGATAGTAAGTGGTTCGTTAGCGTTGGGAGTCGCTTTTTCCGGAACTATAAACNTTTTTTTTTCTTGATCAGAAAAAATTCCCTGTTTCTAAATTATATGGATTTATTCAGTTTTGCAAAAATCGGGACTATCCATATAAGGCAATCTTGCTGCTACTGAGAGGTATGGAAATAAGACAAAAAAAATGATATTATTATTCGTAACAAGGATAATTGTAATGGAGTTGATCGTACTGTAGAATATTGACTGGCAGTCAATACCACGATTCGAGTGACGGCATTCCCGGGTATCTTAAGCAAGGAATCTAAGATTGATTACCGTTTATTCTCATTCTTCCGTGAATTTATATGTCGCCGATGGCAATGGTAATTAGTAGCTAAATGCTTTGTCGTGCTCCATACGATACAATGTGTTAGGCACTTCTAAAATTCTTTGAAACTTTGTGGTTATCTACCGAGAATAATCTCTCGGTAAGTCTTTATCTATATTTAACTTTTATCGTAACGTTTTAATGCCTTTTCCCTTCTTTTATTTTTAACTTTTTCTACTTAACAAATTTATCGTCTCCTAAAAAAAAAGTAAGTGTGTTTAAATTTTATCGAAATTACTATCAATAGAGATGTATATTATATAAATGAATGTAAGGAAAAAATAAAGATTGGTCAATAATCAAATTTAAATACTCGCGACGAATGACGGCGAAGAAAATAATATGGAGTAGGTCGGCATCATTATTTTATAATCTTAGCGAAACAGTTTTATGTAAATGTGGAAGGGAGATGCTTCGACTGTCTCTAGAGAATCCGCCGCTTTCGCCAAATACTATTCTGGCTTTTCTTTGCCTGACAAAAAATGTGTTCTTCACCCCATAGAAGATTCCTCTCGTGTTGCAGCAAAACACACACAAACATGCATTTTATCTGTCTATATATAAAAGCTTATTAGAAAGCCATCTGTTCCTTTGCAAATTATGAATTCTAGTTATGTGAATTTGTATGTATACAAATTAACCTTGAATAGTGATTAACGGTGATTAGTAATTTTCATCCAAACTTTCATTTCTTGATTACTATTACTCCTTTACTTTATAAAGCTGTCATTTAATATCTAAATTAGCTGAAATAAATTACAAAATAATCGTAGTTTATAAATCTTATTTATAGTTACATATTAAAATAACTCAAAAAAATGAACAAGCTTCACTCTTATATGGTAATATTTTACAAAGATTAATGAAAAATGTCGTATTCTTCTTAAAAGAATTTTATTCTGTTCCTACTATTATTTTATATAGTTTCTACGGTTATAATTTTAAAATGATTTTTTTTTCTTCAGAATTTTATTTAAAGGATTGTTTTTATCATCTCGATTAACTTTATTTAATGTTGAAATGTTTCAGAAGGCGCTTGGCACTTCGTTTCAAGATATTTTTCTGTCGCCATTTTATTTTTTTCCCTAGCCAATCGTTAATCTTCTCGGACTAAAATTTACCAACTGAAAATTGTGCCTAACTCTACACCCGACAGTAGGCAATCTATTCCAGTATTGAAAATTCGGTTTCGGTGGTTGACCTAAGGAGGTCAAAGCTTCACGCTAGTGTTTTTTGGGAAAGTAGTTCTCCGGAGATATACGCATTCCCCGTTATGTACTTTTATCGATTGCTTAGTGGGGAATGCACGATAATCCGTAGCGGGCCTTGTCTCGTCGGATCTTCTTTCGCGATGTTACCTCGGGGAATATCCCAGCCAACTTTTACGGCTTCGTTTATGCTACAAACCTTTCCGTTCTTCGGTCGGGGAAACATTTTAGCGCCCCCTATACCACTTTCGGCTTGCGATGACGTCATAAAAAGGCTAAAGTGTGAGACCCGCCTCAATTATAACGCTGCCCCGGATGCGGAGTTTTATTTCCGGACCCGGTTGTTCCGAAAGAAACGATGGAATGTTCCTCTAACACGGTTTTGTCGGTCGTTCCGAAGCTAGAAAATTGCTTGGATCATCTGTTCCTTTCTGTGCGCACCGACTGCATTACTTTCGACAAAATTTATTTATACCGCGCATTCGCCTTCTCCCCTATTTTTGATACTCAAAATTCTGTGCCCGAAAATGTTGGAAAATTACTTTTTAAAGCCATATTTGAAAGTAGTAATCGCGTATTCCGTTTAAGTATTTAAATAACTTTACTCACAAATTTTTTTTCCTTCCTTCCTTTTTACTTTTCAAATTAAAATTTTAATAAGTAATTTTTCATCTTCCTTTAATTTTTAATGATTTTAAAATAGTATTACTTTATAATAATCTCTCTGCATATTAATATAATTATATTAATGTTTACATTTATAAATTGATTGCGAAAACTCATTTTCGATATTTTCTTGTTTATTTTATTTTATTTTTTACTTCTTCCTCTCCCTAATTAACCGTCCCGAATTTCCAAATATTCTCCGTATTTTAACAAACTTTTACGTTTATTTTCGAAACTCGAAAATATTTATCGAGTTTAGTAATTCCGTTTTCGATTTAATTATGCGTGGCAGTAATCGAATTTCATAACATCTTCTTCTTTAAAATAAGATTCTGACAATTACTGCTATCATCCGACTCACTCTCGTCACAACTCTGTTCTAGATTAAACTTGACTTGTTAAATCGTGTTAGTGAATGGCATAGTAATTGCTTTCGTTCTACCTTATGCCGTCTCCGTGTTTATGTTAACTTCCGAGCTTGGTCATACTGATTAGAATACTGGAAATCATTGCCCAAACCGGATTACGATATCTACTCTTAATTTAAACCATGGCGATAGCATCTATAGGATAAGGCTTATATGTATAATTATTACACTAGTTTTACTACATGCAAATATAATGTTTCGCCGATTACATACAGTATGTTACGTGTATCTTCTATATTATCTATAAATTTATGGAAATTTTAATATTTTTAATTGCCAAGTTTAATATATACATTATAATTTACGTATTAAAATGTATTACTCGAATAATATAACAGTATATAAGCCTATTATAAATTATATCTATTTTATTTAATTTTCTGATTCGTGTTTACGTTATGTTACGTCCTTTAATCAATAATTTATAGAGATAAATATTATAGAATTTATTAAAACAGTCAGACTAAAGTACATTGACTTGCGATTAGATTCATTTCATTCAATAATATTTACAAATAGAAGATATAGAAATATAGAATCATAATACTTTTATAATTATTTAAATAGCTGTTACAGATGTAGGCCTAATAGATGAATGCTAACGTAACCAAAACTTGTGAAATGTTATTAGAATGTAAAGCGATTCTGGAGCTTCTCCGGACTGTTTCTTCTTCCATTAAAAATTGACCGATGCCAATATTTACTTAAGGGTTGGCCCGTCACTCTACTCTTGTTTACATAGAACTACGGTGGAGATGGTAAGAGCAATTAAGATAGTTCTAAACAGTACGGTTTCCGCAATCCTCAGGTGCAGATTTTACCAGGGATTTCTTCAAGTACGATTGAGAGACTTTTTGTTTTCTCTGTACTGCCTACCCGGGTTATGATCGAATCAACGTCACTCACCAAATGGAAATTCGTAGCGGGATATGGGATCGTGTTTGTTTTGGTTGTAAAATTTTCTGATTCGATATAAGTAAATATTCTTTAACTCTCCGTAATTCTCATAAATATTTCTTACCTTAAATAGGATTTTATTTACAAAAATGATAACAGTAAATATTTTAAAATAACATAATTTATATGCCTATATTTTTATTTCTTTAAGTAATATTTTAACTCTCCTTGTTTTCATAACGGATATATATTTACATTTTTATTAATGTTAAATTTATAACTTTTAGTTTAATTATTATCTATAAGTTTATTATTATTCTGTTACTTCTGTTAACACTTAAAACCTTCATTTAGTTATTACTTTTTTTTTTTTTAAATAATTTGATAGAAAACTCGAATACGTAATTAGAGAATTTTATTTAAACCCCACTGTTTATTGAGTTTTAAATTGCATATTTATATTTAATGTATCGAAATTAAACTATAATACCACTTCAAATACGGAAAATACAATACTACTTACAATGGAAATGAACTATAGAGGGCAGGTCGATCTTACAACATGGCGGACGAAAATAGTAGGTATGTTTGCATTCAATACTGTATTTATGTATGTAAACAGCTATTGTATATATTTATTAACAATGCTTTTTAACAAAATAAAATCGAGTGATGTATTAGCTTATGCAGGAGAAGCTTAAATATAGTTTTATTGAAGAAGCTGTATTTGTTGTAAAACATTTATTTACGTGTGGGTTCCAACGTTGTTCTGAAGAACACGTCAACGCTGAAAGTTTTCGTGTTCACAAACTCCGAATTTAGTTTTTAGTCCTCTAAAAATTGCGAGGACTTATTAAATACTACGTTATTTTATTAATACTAAAATAATATTATTTTCACTATGAAATAAGTTCTGAAGTTAAAGATTGAATGTAGTAGTATTAAAATATCGTTAAGAGTTTAAATTATCATTATAAATGGCAAAAGATACGATAAAGAAAACGAAATTATGAGAGATTAAGCAACTTGTTATGTAGTTTTATGCAAATATTTCACGGTGAATAAGTACAATACTTTTTGACGTAATCATTGAGACAATTAGCGTAGTAAAAATTATCTTACTCGGCAATATATAGTATATTCGTAGGAAAATAGAATAGATAAGTGTTCTCGAGTGGTTCCTTTCCAAAATTTTAAAAATATATAACCATTGTTTACATAACTTGAAAACGTTTGGGAGAAGGTGCAAAGAAATATTCTACGTTTGTTTGCTCTTACATTGCGGTACACAGCAGAAGCGATTGATTATTTTAGCGTTTCTTCGAGTTCTTCCTAAATTCATGACACACTTTAAAAAAAGACGAACAAATAAACAAAGTAAACACAGATAACAGTATATAGCAATACTAACTTCTGGAATCCAATACTATTTTCAGTAATTCTCTAAACTGACACCAGTGTGCAGGTCGTTCGTTTTCAATGGCAGCTAGTTATGAATTGCCTGCAAGTGTAAACTTTAGAAAATATCCTTGTTGAAATGATAATATATTAGATATTCTCGACGAAAATAAGAATAAATCTGCGATTTTGACGTAATTTGACATTTATTCGATATTTAGTTTTAGAATATATTCAATTTTAAAATTGTTTCGGATAATATCGGATTTAATTTCGAAACGTTTAATATTTTTATTTATATGTATTTAATTAATTAATTAATTATTTATTTATTTTTACCATTTGTTTATTTCTTTTTAACTTAAGCTTATTTTATTTTTTCTAATTTTAGTAAAATTAAATTTAACAAATATTATTTAGATTTAAACACTGATAATTACAACAGTTTATTTGTATTTAGAGATTTTTTTTTTTTTTGATAAATGCGAGGTTTTTGTAGATTAAGTTATTCGGATTTCGGTAGTAACTAGAAGGTGGGATTAAAAGAGAATTTTATTTCAGTTGTTAGTTTATCAAGAGTATAGCGAGCCGTTAGACCTACGAACGGATTCGGACGAAGCGGATTACACGCTGCCGACAGACGAAACCTATTACAGTCAACCCTGCGACCTACCTCCCGACCAGGATGACAACGGTGAGTGAGTTCTTTCGGAAATCTCCACTCGGATCCCGACACTCGTGTTTCAACCGATAATATGCGCCCCGATTCATTATTCTCTTCCCATTTGGCCTTTTTAGTCTCCATCACTATTCACGCTTTAGTATACGCATTTCGCGTGTTATTATTATTATTTTTTTTCCTAAGAAAGTTTCTATTGTTTAATAGCGAAATTCGCTCCGTTGAGTCGCGCGACGTCTCGCGCGCGACTGAGCGAAGACATAAAAGTAGTATTGTGCGATATTGGCGGTAAATTCGAAAGTCGCGTTGGCTTTGTGGCGATTTCGATCCGCGTACGGAACGATCCTTGGTAGTGAAGACGAGAGTTGGCAGGGATTTAAAGGGTTAACGAAGGATGGGGACTCCCTGCGCGTCCGGTCGCCTCGACGAATTTCGCTTTATCCTTAACGACCGTAATTTATGTTCTATTAAGTTTCGGTTTTCTCCCGATTAACTTCGCATTGGGGCGCTCCTTTCGAATAACGTTACTAAAGTTAATTGCCGATTATTCTCGTTTTTTTTTTTTATTTGGCGTCACGAATTTTCGTAACGACACAGAAAAAAAAAGGCGAATTAGAATTAATGGCAATGTAATTGGAATTTTCGTCGTTGATAATTGTGTATTCTCGCGATATAAATTTCAGACGTATATCTCGTGAAATAATAATAATATTCCGCCGGGGACACATATACGAATTCTTTTTGAACACATGCCGTTTCTCTAGGTAATTCGGATCAGACATCATTCTCTGTTGCCTGGATCGTTCCGGCCAACCCCGTTGAGAGTCGGATCTCTCTATAATCCTAAAATAGAAACCGACGTATAACCAAACTGTGTAGATCCTGGCACAGAAATCTGTTTCGTCGTAAATCCTTCCGTCGGGAATGTTGTCAGGGTTTTCCAAAAAAAAAAAACAGAAAAAAATAGTACAGTTGTAATAGAATTCATCATATCTGGTAGAATTTCTTCCTCTAATCTTGAATCATAAAATATTGCAAAACCAGGTTGAAATTATCTCCGAATTAATTTACTGTCCACGTCAATGTTCTCAATTTTTTTAATTTAGTGGCACTTTCATTATTTTTGCTAGAGCATTCATTCGCCATTGTCGCATGATGTCTTTTTATATGGATAAACTTGATAAGAAGAGGAAAAAGATAACATTTGAAAAAGGACGGTTGAAACCACTGGTCTACATATTAAATCGTTAAAACTTACGTTAATTTTGCTATTGATTCTAAAGCTGATAGTCCGAATAGTTTACTAGATAAATTAAATCGAAAATATTTCTGGTGTAATTACCTCTTACTTCAGAAAAATATATTTTATTCAATATTTTAATGCACGCTTCTATTAAATTTTACACATGAGAAATCAATAATTATATTAAATATTAACTCTTGATTGCCGAAATAAATCTTATCTTCGGAAATTCCTGATTAAAATATTTCTGGGGAATGAAATCTTGCAATTTAAAATATTTTGAAATATATTTCGATAAATATTATTATAATTTTCGGTTTGTCATGTTAGTAATTATTATCGAACGAAACAAGAATTGTAGAAAGAATAATATAATAATTGTTGTTTAGTGATTAAACAAATTGTATGGAGAAAGACGGTAAAATTAAATAATGAGTTAATCCCAGAATGAAAGTATAAATTTATAAAGAAAAGAAAATAAATAAATCATATAGATAGATGCTAGATTGGAATTGGTGATGTAAATGCACCTTTGGTGAGAATAACGTTAATAAATGAATGAAATAAAGAAAGAAATGTAGAAAAATCAATGTGCGTAGAATATAGGCATATACGTGAATAAAATAAACAATTATTGCATATTCCAATTTTTTTTTTTAAATTCGTGAATGAACGAACTTTTATTAATTTTCTTCCGAAGTTTAATACTTTACTTATTGGCAAATTATGACCATAAAACTTACCACTTCAGTATACACAAACTTCTATTCTTTAAGAACTAAGAATAGCCTATGTGTCTTATATTCATTTTAAGTGTGGAGTATTTTGTTTCTAATCAATGTGTTAATTAAGAATGGAGTGGATTCTTCTTTTTATTTAAGTAAAAATCTTTTAGATTTGACTCTATTTGGATAAAACATTTGATTTTTCTAGTTATAGTTGCACTAAATTCTCATGGAATATAACTATTACGGTGGCTAATCTTTTTTTTTTTTTTTTGAATTTAAACAAAATTGCACGTTATTATACACTTTCAAAAGTATGTAATTCCTTTTTCGGTTTAGCTTTAAAAACTACACTACAAATTTTATCCGTTAAATTAATATGGAAATCAGACAGACAGATTTAATATTACGAATAATTAATTATACCTTAGAAAAGTTTATAAAATAAAAGAGGGAAAATAATTTAGAAATGTAGTTTTTAAATTAAATTTAAACGAAACGTTATTGAAATTGATGTTAACGCATAAGAATTAATTTTTATTTAATAAAATTGGAATTCGGATGAGTGTGAAGTAAAATTTAAAAAAATGGAACGATAACACTGCGACGTTTTATCGTTTCATTTATAACAATCATTTATCCCCGTCGGGAGAGGTCGTCAGTTAAGAAAAGAAATTCTAGAACCTATTCTAAATCCAATATATTAATTCCGTAAGTGTTACTCTGCCGTTTTGCATCTCCCGAAACTTGGCGGAGCGACATCATTAATACCTCATTTATTCCCCTCGAAATGTAGAAAGTAGTCTCCGCTTTATTTTCTTTACTAACCTTTCGTTAGGATAGAAATAGAATTTTTAAATTTTTTAAAATATTATCTCTCAAAATTCTATCTGTCCTTTTATATGACATCGTAACGTTTGTTTACACCTTTGCTCTTGTATTACTGTCGTTTGAAATAAAATAAACACACCACGATGGTTTTATCCGTATTTGGTTTTTTCCCCTTCTTTCTTTTTATTTTTTTCTTCCTATTCGTTAATAAGAGGATACGAGTAACTATTACTATAGACTTGTACAGAAGATATACATTAAATATAATAATAATTGTTTATATTAATTATTAGTAATCCAGTGTGTTTTTTTTTACTGTTTTCTGGGTTTGTAATATCATCTTCAGCAATAGCGAGAATATAAAATGGAAGTAAGAAATGGCGATTTATATGATTAAGGTTTAGCGTTTAATACACTGATAAACAATTGTATAGTACATTATCTCATGTTGAGAATGATTGCTCGAAAAGACAGTTTAAATAATGCGTATTTACTTGAAGATAATGATAACTCTGATTACAATAAGCGAAGTTTTACGTGTATTTTAATTTATATTTTTTTTAGGACATTCCAGTTCTGATATCATTAGACGACTCTTAAAAATATCTACGATTACAATAAAGAGATCAATACTATATTTTGCAATTCATATGAAATAAATCATTGTCTTTAAGGTTTGCGAACAACTTTAAATAGTGAAATCAATCGCAAATCAATGGTCGAAAATCTAAGAGTTTTTATTCTTTAGGAACCGTAGGATGAGATATTCTCTCTAGGCATTACTTAAAATAATTAATATGGAAGATTTTTTTTTTCAAATATTTCGTGTTGAATTTTAAATAAACAGTAATATTTATTCGTTCGCATAAGAACTTTTCGATTGATTACAATAAATGTGTGTCGAATGTAGCAATATTTCGTTTGTAAATGAATTAATTCAGCATTTATAACTTATCAATGCGATACGTATAGAATTATTTTATTTAATATAGTTTTAGATAAATCGCAATAAAATAAACTCTAGTAAGAACAACGAATAGAATATTATAGATAAATTGCCATAATATGACAATCGAATATTGTTTTTGCTCAATTAATCTAAAGCTCAGCTCTATAAAGAAGCGATTCTTCGAGTATATTAACGAGATTTAATTATTTCAAAATTTTACTCTGGAAAACAATAAACGAAATGGCGTAGGAATTTATAGAAGAGACAAAGAGGGGGCGGTAAACAACACGAGTCTTGATATATTAAAAAATATATATATATATAGGCCTATATATATCAAAGCATATTACGTTGATTACAATTGATATTTAAATTTACTGGATCCATATTTAGATTATAAAAGTTATAATATTGATACATATATTTATTTTGGTATAAAAATAAGAGAAACTATATCAGATTTGATAGAGAAACAATTCTACAGTACTTAAATAAGTATCGTTATATAATTTTTTTTACTATTTCTTTTTATTTGTTATGTATTTTACAATTACTTATCTTTAATTATAAAATTATTATATTTGATTAACTACTATTTCTTTCAAATAGGGCATGTCTAACTTAGGTGAAGATTCATATACAATTCTAAACGTTCGCTTGAATGGACGAAATTTTGTTTTCGGTTGTTCGTGTTTATATGATCGGCCGTCTAGCAATTTACATATAATATCCGACCAATTGATCTATAGCGTGACAAACGCGTTTATCCCGTGTTTTCGAACAACATCGCGTGATAGAAAAGGAAACTCGGACAGTTCGGAAACGACCTTCTTACCTGGCCCAACGTTACGCATCATTTAGTAATTTCCTATAAATGTAAAGTCCTTCCTGTTTTTTTTTTTTTACGAATTTTCTCGTTTATTTATTTACCAGTTTTTATATAAAGAGAATTTCCACTTAGATCTAATATTTATAATTGAACTTATCGGAAATTGATTCAGATGTTATTTTACTCATAGAATAAAAGTATTTCTATTTAAAATGTTTTTATATCTTTAGGGAAGAATTGAAAGTTTAAGCGGTAACGCAAAGAATTTGGATTTGTTTTGAAATTTCTGGGGGGAAAAAAAAAAGAATTTTTCCATCGTACTTTATCCCGAAGGCATGGGTCACATTCGTTGTTGGCATTTGGAACTTTAATGATGGGATGTATGTGGACCTGTTATTGTGAGATAGTAAGTGGTTCGTTAGCGTTGGGAGTCGCTTT